CGTCGCGGAACTCGAGAGATGGGACCCCGAGCGCGCGGAGAAGGTCGGTGAATATGATGGGATCGGATTCGAGGGGGATGTGGCTGAATTTATCAGCGGAGTTTTGTGCCGGAGAATCAGCCATGGTCTCAGGTGAGCTTGAGCCTTGAACGAGGGAGGACGTTGGGAGCTGCAGAGTCACAGTGACGCGTCATCAGCGATCACTTGGCTATCCCGGCCCGACGTTCCGGCTTTGGAGAGCGGACTTCAACTTTTCGCTCAATGACCACGGAGGAAAAACCACGAAAGATCACACCCCTTTCGTATGTGATATAAAGATCGAGGTCAGTTCAATAGGTTCAAACCGCCAAAGAGAACCTCGAAATCTAGATCCATGGAGTTCCCGTGGAGCCCTGAATCAAGCTACATCGGCGCTTTTGTGTAAAAATCACTCCCATTTATATAGCTATAAATTCTGAAGTCCAAGATTATTGGATGAGACGACTAGTCGCTGTCCGTAAAACACTCATGCCCCACAGCTTAACTGAATAGGCAACCTCCCTTCTTTTTAGTTGGTCATTCTGAATGATGACCATGATTGGGTATGTGTCCTTGAAACTTGAAGCACTAGGTTGTGATTCGTCAATAATGTTATCCGAATGGCTTCCGAATGTCTTTTCCCCAGATGTCTCTGGTTCTTTTCTCAGATGACTGCGTTGGTTGGACAACTTAAAAGCCGCCATCAGGCAAACCGGAAGTCAGGCTACTATGTAAGCCTTTGACAGTACTCGACAGCACTTGTCGAGCACTCCGTAGTGCCCATAGTAGTGCCTACCTGCGGATGAACTTGCAACTTACCTTGAAAGATTATGTTCGTCTAAAGCTATTTTCACCTTTGCTACTAATAATGCGCCAGGGAGACCCTGCTTATTACTCAAGTTCACCTCGAGGAAAGTGGTGGCCCGGGCCTTGTTGCAAATTCAAGTCGGTTGAGTTGGCATCAAGTTGGAATGATCAATGTTACACGTAGTCTCTCGCAGAGAGACACTTCAACTCGATCTTGTACCTCGATATGTTACACATGATCTCTACCACGGTTGCAATCAAGTTGATCTTGACACAACCAAATGCTGTTTGCTCAACTCTGGCCCCTTTCTGATGGAATAAAGATTGTAGCCGGTGTAGGCACCTGTAGGATATGATCCTGGCAATTTAGATGCTTTTTAAGGACCAATTTCAGTGGAGAAGGTAATATTCACAGATTTCGAATGCGTGATACATTTGGGATGCGGAAACAGTGTTGTCCATTTGTGTTCAATGCCCTTCTATGTCACATGTCCGAATTGGTGTTGGCGTCATATTTCTGCCTCGTGCAGAGTACACTAGAGAGAATGGCAAAGGTTGTCGGTGCCGGAACCTGCTCGAAACAGCAGGATCCAAGGTCAGTGATGTATTGAGCAAGAGAGTTAGACTCATCCATAACAGAATATTGTCTGTAGTAAAGTACAAATGGTGTCTGGTAAAAGCACAAAGGGACATTTGTTTAACATGTCCATGTCTTTGGGCTAGGAAATGGAGAGCATATTCTGTAGAGCTCGCAAGAGTTGTACCAGATACGCAGAAGATGGTGGAGTCAAACCACAGGTCTTCTGCACACATAACGTGACACATCCGTCCATCTTTCTGCACTGGCTAAGTCGTTGGGGAATTATCAATGTCCATCATAACAAGTTACAACAGAGGCAAAACCAGATGCATGAGGTGCTTGCATGTGTTGGACCTATGTTCATAGCTTAGTTGGAAATCTACTAAAAGATTATTAAGGTTGGTCAGGACCCCCCCCCTCTGAAATTTGAATCCCAAGTGCCTCTTGGGCATGCTGAGATGGCAAAATTTACTTAGTATCATTTTGCAAGAGACCTAGCTACTCTCCACATGTCCGAATTGGTGTAGGGGTTAACATTGCCGCCTCTTGTGAAAAAAAAAAAAAAACCCGCGCAGCGGGTTTTTTTTTTTTTTTTTCACGGTAGGCACCAGGAGGCGGAGCCGACGAGTGCCCCCGAGCCCTGGCGAGGGGTGGTGTACGTTAAGGACCCAACAAATTTCCGTGGAGCGGGGTCAGCAACGCAGCAAATTTCCACGGAGCGGCGCGTGAGTTGGACATGCTGCAAATTTCCGCACAGCGGGGTGGGTGGGTACGCCATTTTCCGCGAAGCGGGTTTCCGCAAAACCGCACGGGGTGCAGAATTTTTCCGCGAAGCGGGTCGGGGCGAGTACATCCGCGAAGCGGGGTACCCAACCATTTTCCGCGCAGCGGGGTGGGGCGGGAACTGCCGCCGTCGCGGCCCGACACTCCCGAACTTGATCAGCGCCGCCGATCGTGCCTCTCTCAACACACCCGATCACTCAATACCCCTCTCGGTCATCGCCCTCCCGCCTGTCGCGTCACACCCCGCCCCGTTACTGCGTCACCATCACCAAACGCATGACCGCGTCTCGCATGACCGCGTCTCGCATGACCGTGTGCCTGCATCAAAACACCGCCACGTTGCGTTTGCTTCCACGCCGTACCACAAGCCGGAAACCTGCGCCGCTCCATCGCAACGCTCGCTCGACGCCATACCGCCGACCCCACCGCACCACAGGTGCCGCATCGCATTGCACAAGCTACCGCGACCGTGCGTTCCCTTTCTTTCATGCTTTTAATCGATGTAGATCCGCGCCGCGGCATCCAGAAAACGCTATTGACCCAACGCTGTCGCGCAAACACGTGACTCGGTGATGGCCGGTGTCAGCGTTTTGTGCGCGCAGCGCAAGTCCTTCCCCGTCGTTGGCGACGCTCGGGATGCGCTTTTTTCCCCTAATTTTCCTTTAGGTCGCTCTCCAGCACGTCTCCTCATCATGAAGCTCCGCGCTCGTCACCCCGGAAAGCCTGCCGACCCGTTCAGGCTCAAATTGGGTGCTCACAGGTTTCCATAGGAGCGCAGCACCCCCAACGCGCACTTTGTACGCTTCACCCGACCAATTTGGCTGCCGACATGATATCTTCACCCTCCCGAGCGGGTTCGACAGTATATATTAGACTACGCGAAGTATTTTACGTCATATGATCATCGTACCTTTAGATAGGTCTCAAAATACTTTTTTTCACTATTTAATATATTTCACAGTGTAAGAAATGCGTCCCAGGCGTCGCCAACGACGGGGAAGGACTTGCGCTGCGCGCGCAAAACGCTGACACCGGCCATCGCCGAGTCACGTGTTTGTGCGACAGCGTTGGGTCAATAGCGTTTTCTGCGGCATCCTATAGTACAACAACACTATAGCCCCCGCACGCACGCAGCCAGCGCATCGCACGAGAGACAGCCCCGCCATGACTTTGCCCTGACAAGCACCCGGCGCTGTATACACTACTCTGCCGTCTACACCGTTACGCCTCAACGCACACAACCGCGGCTTTTCGCGACGATGCTCTATCGCACGCACATCCTCCAATCCACACAGCGCCTCTCTTGCGTCATCTCATTCGGACCACGCACCTGGTCCACATACCACCACACCCGCGTCTCGACATGTATAATCGGCGAACCGCTACCATAGCCGTCCGCATCCACCTCCTGGGACCCGCATTAGGCGTCTCCTTCCAAACATCAGCGGACGCCTCCGTCTACTCGTCACTCAATGCCAGCACAACGACGCCGTCTCATCCCCGTCTCCTCACCCGACACCTACGCTCACATAATCACGAGCGCGGCATCGTGTTCATTCAAGGCTACTGCCCACCTCTCCCCCTGAAACCAGCACAGGTGCCTCAGGCGTCAAATGCAGCATCCACCCCCACGTCTGCTACGCTTCAAACGGGCGTCTGTGTCTACTTGACACCCGCCTACATTCCGGCTCGCACATTATTTTCAAGAGCAACGTCTCCTCGGCGCCCCGACGACGGATGCAGGTCCCCGTCTCACTTCGTCCACACCGTCGCACGCCTCCACAACCACTCTCGGCAGCCACAACAGCAATGCAGCCTCTCCACCATGTTTATCGACACGTCCTCCCGTGTACAATTACTGAAAACCATGTATTACTCATCTAATCCAACATTTTTATTTCTACTTTGAGATGCGATCCATGTTTCAGCCCATCCAGCCAAATAAAAATGTCTACGTCTGGGCGCGTTGATCAACAATCACTCGCCCTCTTTCTTCGTAAGGCACTTCTTGGGTGCACACCGACATCCAGAGCCACTTCTTTGTTCTGAGTCTCTGTTTATAGCCAAACAACCGCCAGCCAACTGCCTACGCATCTTTCAACCAAACATTTACTGGTACCACCTCTAGGGTCCAATCGCAAGGCTCGTCTTGCTTCACACAAAGCCAGTGAGTCGACAACTGCCGTCCAAATCCATTCAGGTGCCTGTATCAATTTCTAATCCAACTGTTTTCCGCAAAGCGGGTGCGGCCAATTCCAATCCAAGTGTTTTCCGCAGAGCGGGCACCAAGTACTTTCCGCGGAGCGGGGTCAGGCAGGTGCAGCGTCAGGAAAAATGGCAAAAACGTACTAAGTCCCTATCCAAATCGGACTTGGAAAAATTCCCTGTTCCTTATGTCTCCCGTTTTTTCGCTAAAAAGTACTAAGTCAACGCGAAAATCGGCCTTAGAATAATTCATTGTTTCTCGTATGTGATCAATTTTTTTCTAAGCTAAAAAGTACCAAGTCGACACGAAAATCGGCCTTATAAAATTTTCTGGCCTGCGCGTTCATTTGCTGTGGTGTGTTTCAAGCTAGAGGTCCGTGAACGACTTTGTCTATTTGGTGAAAAAAATAGCAAGACTTCCGCGCTAGGTAGATGACAACTCCTAAACAGCTCGATGCACGATAGCTCCTATGCGATGTCACAAAGTCGCGCCGCCTATACTAAACTGACATGTGTTTTTAGGGAAACGTGTCAGGGAAACGTGTCAGTCAATGCGGGGGCGCGCGAGTTGATTCTCCGTAAGTCAACGCGTCGGGGACAACATATGTCCGATATGGTGTAACGGTAACATACGCGCCTCTCATCTCCCATAAGGACGCTAGAGTTTTCGCGCGTGCCCGGGGTTCGATTCCCCGTGTCGGAATGCTTTTGCCTCCCCCCCACCTCCTTTCATTTTGATCCTTTCTGGATTTTTCTCCTCAGCTCTGGCCCCATGCATCATGCCAACTTGTGGTTGGTGGGCATTCGTCATACCGGTACGCAATTCCCCAATTCGGAATTTTGGCCTTAGTCTTTGTTTTTGTTTCACCCCTTCTGTTACCTCCTCACCATATGAACCTCATCAACTGATTCTCGTGCGCCCTTCTCGTCCATTGGGTCGCAAAGTATTACCACCGGATCTGACAGAGTCCGCCTCCATATCTGCATAATTCGGAATCAGCATGCCCAGAATAATTGGGTCTGACTGTCGCGACTTACCACTTCACCAAAGCACCACACCTGTCCCGTGCTGCTCGTTCACACATCTTGCTAGTACATCAATGTAATTGTCGCTCAATCGCTTTCTACGTCACCGCAATGTCGCCCACTGCCTGTGATCCACGCTTTGAATCTGTTTCAACCTCTCAGACTCAACCCCCTTCAAAAATGCGGAGACTAAAATCATGTAAATACCAATATTTAAAGAAATAGAAGAAGGTGGGAAGGGAAGAGGGACAAATCGTGCCATGCCACACGTGAGTCCAAGCCAGATCTGATACAAGTCTTACTTGGTTATGGTGTGCATTCCAAAAGGATATCAGCCACCCACAGCAACGAAAGGAACTTCAAAGAAAGAGGAAGGAAGAAAGGCTCATGGTAGTGAATCTCCCAAGGCTGTAATATACCATATTGGCTTTTCCTGTGGGAGAGCTGAATTGATTTGAATACAAGAAACAAGGAGACCCACCTCCGAGCAACTCAGCTACAGAGCCCTGATAAAGCCATCAATAATTTACATCAACCAAAGAGGAAGCATAAGTCGATGGTGCTAAAATTCAGGATTCTATCTGACAAGCCAGAAATCAGAACAGCAACACGAATTAGATGGTGCCGACCGAACTGGACACGGAATATCACTCTCAAAGGACATACATGCATACCATATTTTTCTGTAATTTTTGTCACACACCCCCCACTCCCCCCTTCACCCTCCATGCCCAGGTCAGATGCAGGTCGGTCCGAGAATATCGCCACAGAAATTGGGCTTTGAAAAGGGAGTATGAGGACAGCAGTGTCTATACAGTATATGGAGTGCAGTGGAGGAGATACGCAATGCTGAAGTTGACTTTCCAACATATATAGCGAGAAGGACGCAACTGCCCGGGTATTCACCTTCACGTCTTCTAAACTTGAGAGAGCGTGTATTGATCTCGCAAGCTGCACAATGGCCGTTGATCTGCTATGCATTTGAAGACCATGTCAATCGGAAACAATACAAAATCCAGCAGAAGAGTTGAGGCAGAAAACTGAAGAACGTAGAGGCACATGATAAGGTAGGAGATGGCTCAACTGGTATTATGCTGTTTTCAGGCCGAAGAAGGTCTTCAACTGACCAGCAGAGTTAGATAAGTTAGACATGTGAGGCTGGTCATTGAGGAGGAGGTCGAGCGACGAGAAGTAAGGGCCCTTGTGCATCCGAGCCCAAAAGCTAACACCGACAGCCCAACCGGCGAGAACGGGCATTTCCAAAGTACCAGGAGCCAGGAGTGTGAGAGAGCAACAAGAGATGGAAACATCCGTGTAGCACAGATGTGACGGGGCGCTCTCTGACGCATCACGGACCAAAGCCACCAAAGACGAACATGTGCAAAGGTATCAAATCCCCATTGATAGGCAAAACATGTTCAAGAAAACGCGTCCTACACTTTGTGTGGCACAGCCGCCGCCCCAAGCATCCGATTGGACGTAGATACATAACACTATCTACACTGCCATTTAAGGCAAATGGCATGATCAACAACATTGAAGTAGGGAACCAAACCTAAAGGTTCGGCAATAGCAAAACATAATCTGTCTTATGGATTTTGGAATCCGAACAGGCTCTTATTACAACCACCCTGACCATAAGAATCCCGACAATAGATGACTCGGAGCTGGTAAGTCGCCCGACCCAGCAAAACAGGTTGACAAGGAATTGCAGCTGGCACGTTGGGCTTTCCCCAGAGACCTCCATCAACCGTGATTTTGTGGTCCTTGGTAGGAACTTCAGCATCGTCGGAGACCCACCGCGGTTTGGGTAGTAGAGCTGGAGTTCGCCTCCAGCAATTAGTGTAATAATCATTGAACCGGTCAATGTGCCTGTGTTGATAACAGATCTCGGAATGAAATCTATATTGTAATCATCCCACATGTTGTTGGAAATTAAAGGATTTATCACTCACGTATCCAAATTATGATACTCACGAGCCGGGAAAATAAGGGCGAATAGAGCGAATAGAAAATACAACATCACCCTTGAGCAGATTTCATGAAACGTGATTACAATGTACAATGTCCTCCGATTAAAGACCCAAGTACATCCACGAATTTGATTTAATTTTACAACCCATACTACACTTCTTCGCGCTTTCGCGCATCTTGATCCTCGGGCGACATAAGACTGATTTTTTGTGCCGCACTTGATCCAGAGTCCTAAGTGGACAAGGGGTGAGTCGAGAGAAATGAAGACAAAAGGACGAAAACCAACGGCGTGCGACAAGTACGCTGTCCCGGTTGAGAGAAGATGTTGTTCCGGTCCTCCCGGGACGAAATGCAGAGACTCGGTGCGAGAAGTTCTATTTCCACTCCGAGTCATGTCCCCCAGATCCATTGACATGCTGGTCTGAGAATTGTTGATGAACTTCCGGGCGTTCAAGGTGACGAGTAACGTGCTTAGATCTGTGGAAAGGTGCTTAGACGCAAATAGAACTGGGGCAACAATCTAGGTACACATACACAACGAGCAGATTGGCAGCTCGAATATACAGAACGTGAAATCCAGCGGAAATGCCACGATCTTCATAAAATTAATTATGCATCGAAATCGCAAAGATGAGTACCGACCGAGATGAAATCGAACACCGCCAAAATCGCCGTCCAGGCACCGCTGTTGACAGAAAGAATGAGTAACTTGGAGACCAATCGTTGCGTGCTGGAAGATGAAGTCACAAATCTAGCAGTCGGGTGGGTGTAGTGCTTTGAATACCTTGTGAACTGAGAGCGTTGCTTGGTAAGAAGATGGACCATGACTGTCGCAATGAGGATATCGCTGACTGCTCCAGTTGCTCGAAGAGAAATCGCAACCGCCTGGACAGGTCAAAATCGGTTTCGCCTTGCAATATAAAACCAATTTGTACGCACCGTTAGTTGTTTGGTCTGTTTTCCAGCCGAGACTGCGGCATGACCGAAACTGCAGGCACATGTCAGGTTCTGGTGTCTCAGCCAAAGATGAAGTTCTCTCACGCAAGGAAATTATACGCTGTCAAAGCATCAATTCGGCGCCCGTTAACATAGATGAATGAACTTACGTCCGAGGCCAACTGCAAGTCGCAATAATCAGTTCTACAGATTGCCGATATAGGTTGAGCACCAACTGATTTGCCACGCTATCAAGGGAATCTTAGTCTGATTTCAGCGAAATGGTGGAACGCTGGGAAAATGCTGTGCACCAAAAGGCAAGGAATGAGACGTTTTCGACCGCTGACTGTGTGGACAGATGAAACATGGACAGTTACACTCGGAAATAATGTACGAACGGGTGTAAATTCTCCAGGCATAATATGACTGCACTGCAGCCGCAACGATTGCCTTGCCTGTGGGTTAATAATCCTAATCACCACATGAAAAAAATCACGACTCACAGCGACCCAGACATGATGCTGCGAGGGAATAAATCAGTCAATAACCTGCTGGCAGACTTGCGATATGACTAACTATGAGTTCGCTGCATCCAAAAAATTTGTCAGTCAGCTGGCAGAATTGGGTAAACACTTACATGGTACCTTCTGACTTCCCCAGGACGTCAACTCGACCCCAGTGCAAAATAAGCCCCGGCCAAACTAAAACGATGGAAATCAATTTCTTTCGAACGCAGAAAGAATGGCCAGTGAGTGCACTCACCGGACCTCAAGACGAGGATTTCGTTTGCGGTGTCGACGGCGCTTGAGGTTTTATGGGAAACTTTCGGTCGTGATACGGATCAAGGATACACACATGAGAAACATGATCTAGTCCACAGTTGTCAGTTAGCGGTCAATCGCTTTGGGGCATATTCAGGGCAACTCCGTAACTTACCAGGAGCTTGAGTTTCCACGGGTCCTTCTCATACCTTACCCACAATTTAACCAATACCTTGAGCTGGTAATCTCCGCTTACATCATGAAATAGAGTAATCTGCAGAGCGGTCAGTTGAAATACCATTGAAAAGGAGGAGTCATAGACTCACTCACGTCTGCACGAACGATACCCCCCACACTGCAGCGGAAAGGAAACAGCCGATTAGCAGAACACCGTAGGTGCTCTGGAGGTTCAAGTCGAGACTTATTGGAATAGCCGCCATCAGGGTCGCGCATGAACGCTTGGCTCGTCAGAAGGTTTATAAGAGACGGAACGGTGTATGGGCATGGGACGCGAATAGCACTGATAGCCCCATCTAACGGCCGACAGCGTCTTTCCCTCGGTCTCAGTGTCACCGGAAGGGGAAGAAGAATATTACCGCGGCGGCTCAATGAAGAACTTACTTTGAAGTCGATAAGCCGCTGCAGAGCCGGAAAACTACCAAGTTTCGGTCGGAGATACTTAACATATCGTAAGGTGAGCAGATGGCGTCTGGCACCTAATTTACATAAGAATGGTCACGGAAGTAGATCCGTGCTTCAGCCTTCAAGTTGACGATTGGCGGGAGGTCCTTTGTAGCCAGCGACAGGAGTCGGGCGACTCGGGCAGCGATGTCAGATTCGTCTTGAATTCGTCGCGAGAATACATAGAGCAGAGCCGGAACTTCTTCGTCCGTGGGAGGTAAGATGCTGAGTTTATGGCAAAGCTGTGGGGCTGTCCTGCGCGGTCCGGGGTGAGGCACTGAACAAACATCGCGCTTCGCTCTTGTTCCCTTACCTCGGTCTCGGC